ATACCATCCACCAGACAGCCTGGGATTGCTCATCAGCCTTTTCTGTTTTAAGAAAGGATTTAAAATATCTTGTGATAAACGTACCTTCCGTTCATTGCAGGAATTTGACAAAATACAGATAAGAACAAAGACAAGAAAAGCCACTCATCATTCCTACACCTCCGGTGAACTGAGGCCATTTTAATCAAATGCTTGGCGTGGCCTGCCCCCCCCCCACCCCAACTTCTGGAACACACAGGCCTGGTTCTCACTGCTGTTCTCTCTTCCTAGAAGGCGCTGTCCCTCCTTCTGGTGTTTGTCTGCTTACACACCCACACTCGCGCACACACGCTCACACACCACGTATCTCATTGATGCACAGACATCATCTGTAACAAGCCCCGTTGTTTCATTGAACACCCAAACCAGACAATCGCAGCCAATTCGTGGAGGCGCCATTGTATGCAGATGCAGCCCAATTTCAGAGACGCTGAAATGGGAAGAAATGTGCACCATAGGATAAATGACATCCAGTATGCATATGTGTGTATCTGGGGGGTATATTTTATTTTGTTTATTTTTAACATCTTTATTGGAGTATAATTGCTTTACAGTGCTGTGTTAGTTTCTGCTGTATAACAAAGTGAATCAGCCATATGCATACATATATCCCCATATCTCCTCCTCCTTGCGTCTCCCTCCCACCCTCCCTATCTCACCCCGGGGGGTATATTTTAATACGGCAACATTTGCAGTGCTTTTCACTTGATCACTGCAGCAGTTTCCTGTATCACTAATTGTTCATCAGAAATGAAATCCTGACGGTCTGTGCACCACCACGTGGATGTGCCACGTCCACTCAGGCACCTGTTGTTGAAACCTTTTGAGGTTTTTAACCGTGTAAATAATGCTGTGATGAACATCTCTGTACATACGTCTTTGAGTTCCTATTGCTTCAGTGTGGATTCCCAGAAGGAAATTCCAAAGGGTATGTATGGACTGTGGTAGCTCTGATACCTAATAGCGCTCCACAAGGGCTGCAGTGGGTCCACAGTTCCAATTTTAAACCAGGCCATCTGCCCTTTGTCCCAGCCCCACCCCTGAGCGCAGAAGTCTGCAGAGAGGACTTGGCCCTGGCTGGCCCCACTCACGCTGGCCTCCCCTGGCCTCTGCAGACTCCAATGAGAAAACCCTGCCCATCTCGGAGCTGGTGGGCATTGCAGCACAGGTGGCCGAGGGCGTGTGCTACCTGGAATTGCATAATTACATCCACGGGGATCTGGCTGCCAGGAACATCCTCGTGGGGGGAAACAACATGTGCAAAACCGGGGACTTCGGGCTGGGCAGGCTCGTCAAGGTAGGGCCAGGGGAGGGCGGAGAGCAGAGGGTGCAGGGAGCTGGAGGTTCCCGTGGGCTTCCCGCCCTTAGGTGAGATGTGGGCTGTGGGGCCCGAGCTGGGTCTTTTTTTTTTAAAAATTATTTTATTTTTGGCTGCATTGGGTCTTCGTTGCTGCGCGCAAGCTTCCTCTAGTTGCGGCGAGCAGGGGCTGCTCTTCGTTGTGGGGCACAGGCTTCTTATTGCCGTGGCTTCTCTTGTTGCGGAGCATGGGCTCTAGGCACGCAGGCTTCAGTAGTTGTGGCACGTGGGCTCAGTAGTTGTGGCTCGCGGGCTGTAGAGCGCAGGCTCAGTAGTTGCGGCACACGGGCTTAGTTGCTCCGCGGCACGTGGGATATTCCCGGACCAGGGATCGAACCCGTGTCCCCTGCATTGGCAGACAGATTCTTAAGCACTGTGCCACCAGGGAAGCCCCCGGAGCTGGGTCTTAATGGGATCAGGAGGCTCCTGGGAGGGCGGTGCAGGCACTTGGATGAGTCCAGGAGGACAGCTACATGGGGCCAGCTCGGGCACCCAGAGGCTGGGGGCAGGGAAGTCCCTGCTGAGTGGGTGGGCAGCACAGCAGGGCAGGGTGTGCAGGCGGCAGGGCGTTGGGGGGGAGCGGGCCCAACCCTCACTCGCCCTTGGCCAGTGTCCTGCTTCCATGCTCAGCCTGGCCCAGCAGGCAGGTGATACCAGCACCTCCGGGACTCACAGTCACACACTGAGAAATTGAGGGGTTCCTTTAATCGTGATGCCCCAGAGCTAAGTGTCAGCCATTCCAGGGTACTCCTCAAGCGGACCCCAGCGTCACGCCAGCTTGGCTGCTAACCCACCGCCCCTCCCGGTGTCTCCTTGCAGCTCACTTCTAGAGAAACTCTGCCCCTTGTCCTGGGAAGCTCTCTGCTGGGTTTTGCGACTATGGTCCTCTGGGGCGGGGCCTGTTGGCATCTGGGGCGGGTCCTGCCTGCTCAGCTCCGGCAGCACGGGTCCCAGGGAGCCCTGACGCAGCGTGGGTCCCGACCGCACACTTGCCCACCAAGCACTGGGCTCCCCGAGCCTGTCCATGCTGTGGGGAGGGAGGGTGCAGGCGGCCCCCAGGCCCGCCCCCAGCGTTTCTGATTGCAGAAGAACGTCTACCTCTCCCATGACCACAGCATCCCTTACAAGTGGACTGCTCCCGAGGCACTCTCCTGAGGGCATTACTCCATCAAATCTGACATCTGGTCCTTCGGGGTTCTCCATGAGATTTTCAGCAGGGATCAGATGCCCTATCCAGGTACTGGGCACCCAGTGTTGCCAACTGCGGGCAAGGCGGGAGGGGGCCGTCACCTGGACACGGCCCCTGCACCATTCACTGGGTGCCTGATGCCTTCCAGGCGTCACCATCCAGAGGGAGGGCGTTAGAAGTGAGTGCCAGGGATGCAGAGGGCGAGGGCACAACCCAAGGCTTCCTGCGGGAGCGGGGGGACGGCACTGGTCTCGCTGCCTCCACAGCCCCTCTTGTCCTGCCCGCCACAGGCATGTCCATACCTTCCTGAGGGTAGAGGCGGGCTACCACATGCCCTGCCCCCTGGAGTGCCCACCCACCACACACAAGCTGATGCTCTCGTGCTGGCACAGGGACCCCGAGCAGAGGCCCCACTTCAAAGGGCTGCGGGAACAGCTCTCCAGCCTCAGAAGGTACGAGAACCTGCTCTGAGTCGGCTGCCTCCTTGCCACTGCCTAAAGGCCAGGCCAGCCCTCGGGAGAGGCCTGAGCAACCTCGGATCATGGGAGTGGGCTGACCCAGATTTACTGAGGATTTGCTGAAGGTACCAACAGCTCCCAGAATCAACCGGACACTCCCGAGAAGGGGCTCGGGCAGCCCTGGGCCCGCCTGTTGCCCAGTGCAGCCAGGAGCTGGGCCTGCCCCTTCGCCTGACACCAGCTCCTGGAAAGTGCTGGGACCTCCACAGCCAACACCTGCCCTGGGGCTCCAGGAGCCAGGTCGCCCCTCCTTCCTAAGGGAGTGGACCTGTCCCTGGTCCTGACCCAAAGCCCACCAGCTGTCAGGACCAGGGCTGAGCTTCCCTGGCTGTGCGTAGTGGGGACCTAGGCTTTGGCTGCACTCCCTTTGCCCTCTGGCCTTGCCTGAGACCTGGATATAAGGGGGCGTGGACCCCCTAGTCCTCTGTGGAGACAGGGGCACTGACGCCTGCTCCCTGAGGCCAGCTGCTGTTCCTATCCAGCTGCCTTGACAAATGCAGCGCAAACGGCAGCTGCCACCAGGGGGTCTGGGGGCCACTCTGGACACTGTGACTGAAAGAACTGGGTGGGGGTCAGGCTAACCGTGCCTGGACACACTGTGGGCAGGCAGGACAGAAGGTGCAGCCTTTGGGGGCCACGAGCCACCCAAATGCCTTGGGATGGACTCCTGACTCCCGTGATTTAGAACGGAGCTGGGGCGGGGTGGCCAGCTGAGCCCAGCCCGCTAACCAGTGGAGACCACCCCTCTAGGCCCCCGCCCTCACACCGCTCCCTCAGTGAACTGCCCTCTCCTGACCCCCAAGCCCCGGTCAGTCTCTGCCGGCCACTGAGGCATGTGGACGCCACCAGCCTACCCCCCACGCCTGCCCCCAGGAGGCCAGCAGAGGATGAGACCACTCCCCAGCCACACACAGAGCTCCCAAGTAGGACTCTGCCCAAAGCTGGGCTGCCCCGGGTGGGGCCCCGCTAGAGCCTCCCACACCCCCTTCCCCTCACCCTTAAAGTTTTGGCTGCCGGGGGCCCTGCCCAGAGTGTGCCTTACAAGAGGCTACAGGAGACGCTGCCTTTACTGGAAGGCACGTGGGAGAGAGCAGTGTGCGTGAGCTGCTCCACACCAGGTTGAGGGCGCCAGGCCCCGCGTCTGAGGGCTCCGGACCCAAGCCAGAGACCCTGTCTCCCGCCGCGGCAGCAGGCGCCGAGGCGGGTTTACTCAGAGGACCCCGACCTCAGTGGCTGCCCTGGGACTGCCTGCTCTCCCTGGCTCCCCAGGATAGCAAGGCACCCCACCTCTTCTCAGATACAAGACTCCACACTCACCGTAGCTGTCTGCCCACGTGAACCGGAGCCAGATCTCAGAGGTGGCCCGCTAGGGAGGGACCCCAGGAGGGCCCAGGGGGCAGGGCCAGCTCCCCATCGCCCAGGAAGTGAGAAGTTTGAGGGGTTGGTGACTTCTCCCGCGGCGGTGGGGGTGGCATGGAGCTCACACACACACCATGTGGCTGCTGGCTGCTTGGAGTTTATTTTCTACTCGGTGCAAGGCACAGGTTAGAGGGTGCCGGGAAGGCTCTCACGTGGCTTGGATAGTGAAGAGTGGAGTTCTCTCAACTTCCTTTTTGGTGTTTTGCTGTTTTGATGTTAAAAACCCAACTGCTCGTGTTGGCTGCAGCCTGATCACTCTCAGGGAGGGGAAGGAGGGGGGCTCTGATGAGCCCAGCGCCTGGGGAGGAAACCCGCCCGGCAGCTGGTGGTGGCCGCTCAGGACGGGGGCCTGGAGTTGGCCTGGCCAGGCTGCTGCTTCCCCACGGCTTCCCGAGCCAGGTCACAGGTGATCATGCCGGTGGAGGCCTGGGCTGGTTCTGAGCTGGAAGAGAGCACGTGGTCAGAGGCTGCTACCACCTGCCCCCCCCCCCCCCCCGGCCCCTACTCCAACACTGTGGCCATGAACGGGAGAGTGGACTTCCCGAAAAAGAAGCTGGCCCACCAGTGTCCCGGGTCAGCTCTGGGGAGACCTGAGAGAAGCAAAGTGAGGTCAGGGTGCTGCTGCCCACCCCCTCCAGTCAGTCCCCTGGGGACAGCCAGGGGTGGACCTGTGCTCACCGGGGTGGCGGGGGATGCCTTCCCCAGGGTACTCGGCACTTCCGCAGGAGCTGTTACTGGAAGTGGAGCCCAGGCGGCCTGGAGAGAAGAGGCCAGGTCAGCTCCACAGGGCACTGAGCCCCCAGCACAGGGCCGGTGCCAGGGGTCCTTAGCCGCTCACTCCCCACTCGGATACGGATTCTCGAGGAACTGGAGCTGACACAAGCTGGGTGGGGGAGCCCGGGTCAGACTTGGTGGCGGGGCGGGCAAGGGGCTTACTTACGCCGGTAGTAGTCGTGGGTGGCCACGAGCGAGCCGCTGGAGGGGATGGCTGCCATGCTCTTGCTTGTGGGCTGGTGGAAACCTGCGCACGCGGGGGTCGGGGAGCCCCTTCGGTCACCGCTGCCTCTCGCGAAGGGTACTCCCCACCCGGACCCCACGGTCAGCCGCGTGGGCTCTCGGGAGGGGCGGACGCCAGGTTTGTTTACCGAGCCGAGGCGGGGCTCCGGAACTCCGGGACCGCCCTCTCCGCGCGGGCGGCTCTAACCAGCCCGAACAGGTCGCGCGGGACAACAAAGGCGCTTTGTGCGCGGGGCCGCCGGCCTGGGGCTCCGGGAAGCGGCCCTGCCTGCAGCCAGCGCGCTGCCAGCTCCGCGCCCCGGGCCCTGCCCGCCGCCCCCTCCCTACCCGCGCCCTTCGGTCCACCCAGACGCCGGGCGGTCCGCCCCGCCAGCCGTCGCTCCTATTCGGGCTGCTAGACCCCACCCACGCGCTGCCCGGTCCCTCACCTCGGCGGCGACCCCTCGCGGGCCTCGGGCTCGATCACGGAGGGCGGGGACCGGGGCGCTAGGCCACCGAGCCCATCTGCACAGGGAACCGCGGCCGACGGCTCCACGACCCAGACGCGCCGGGCGCGCACGCGCGGACGCGCCCCCTTATATGGCGGCACCGCCCCGCGCCCTGCGAGCCCCGCCCCGATCCCGGCACCGCCCCAGCCCCGGCGAGGCCCCGCCCCTGCTAGGCTCCAGTTCCGCCCAGGACCCCTGCGAGGCCTACTAGGGCCCGCCCCGAGCTCAGCCTGGCCCCGCCCCGCCCTGCCCTGCCCTGCCCCGCCTCAGTGGCCTGGCCCTAGCTGGCCGTCCTTGGAGGAAGTCCAGTCCTGCAGTGTCCGTCTGACCTGGGCTGCTCGGGCAGCGCATGCCGGCCTGGCCTGGGCTTGGGGTGGTTAAATAACCGCTGCCCCAGTCGTAGAGCAGGGCCTCTCTCCCTCCCACCTCTCGTCCCACCTTCCCGGGCCCTGGCCATCCTTTTGGACCCAGGCCTGCTGCTGGTCCAGCCTGACTCCACCTTTCCAGCTCCGCGGAGGCGGCGGGGGTGCCGGACGGTGGCCCCTGCAGTTCCGGTCTGTTTCTGCCGCTGCCCCCAGTCCTGGGCTGAGCCCAGCAGGCCCAGCCCTCACAGTGCCCCTCTGCTCTGGCCTTCTCTGCTCAGGATGGGGCACTCCCCACTCTCACCCATATTGGGGGGACATCTGCTCAACCAGACGTGGGCCCCCCGCCAGCGGGTGCCCTCCCCCAGCTGTCGGCCTGGGTGCCACCCAGAACGAGCTGTCTGCCTCTAGCTTTCCAGCCCTTCAGGGACTTCATTGCAGGTGGGAAGCCGGGGAGCCCACCCATGTCTCCCTCACAGCTCTGGGGGCTCTGGAACCCACTCCCTGTTCTCAGCTCCAGCTTGCATCCAGCTGCTTGCAAGGCATGGGTGGGGGAGGAGGGAGAGAGGAAAGGAGGGCAGGCAGAGGGGGAAGCTTATGTCAGTGGGTGGGGTAAAGACCTCTGTTTGGGGATGTCTCCAGTAGCTGGAGGCGAGGCCCCCAGTTTTGGGCAGCCCCAGAATGTTCCGTGCAGGGCCTGGGCCCTGCCACACCCTGGCTCTTCAACCGGGAGGAGGACTTCCTTTCCAGTGTGGAAATCAGCCTTCCCCCACCCCCGACCCCCAGCCTCCCTCTGTAGGGAGGGGAAGTCCCCCTGTCCTCTCCCTGGCTCTTTGGCACTAGGCCCTGGCTGGGCAGTCTCGCCCCTGGTGGCTGGGAGGGCCTCAGGAGATCTGTGGCAGCTTCGGTGGGGGGCCATCAGGAAGATCCCATAACCCCCTGGGCTGGGCCCTCTATATCCTGACACCCCCTCAAGGACCCCTCCAGGATTCCTGAACCTCAGTCCAACTTCTCACTCAGGAGACGGAGAAACTGAGGCCCCAGGAGGGGAGTGGCCTTGCTGCCCCTGGATGTGACCCTTTATTGGGCTTGGTGGCGGCCAAAGCTGCTGACCTCCTAACTGCGACCTGGCTTGGGTCGCAGTGTGGCCAGGGGATCCTGGAGGAGGTGCAGCTACCTGGCCCAGGTGACTCTCATTCCTTCTCGGCCTCCCCCATCTCTTCCTGGTGTCCCCATGGACTGGGCCCCTGCTGGTCACTGGGAAAAGGACGGTTCCAGCATCTCTCCCTGCCACCCATCCAGCCGCATCTTTCATGGGCTTCCAAGATAACCGTGGTTCACAGAGAGGGTCAGCTGGATTGCTCATACCCGTGAGACAAGACCCTGAAGGAGAGGCGCGTGGCCCCCCAAGCCCTCACCCCAACCTCCCTTCACAGCCAGAGACCTTGGCTTCCCAGGGTCACCACAGGCACGGCCTGGCCGTCTTCCTGTCCTCCTCCAGGGCATTAATTCTGGATGGTGACTTTACTGCAAATCAAATTTAATTCTTAAGGGCCATTTGCCATCCCCCACTCCTCCCATGCTCACCAAACCCTGAGCCTGGTCATGGATCAAATGTACCAGGGCCCTGTTGCTGGGTTATTGGCCACTTGGGTCCATGTGGGCTCTGGCCATCAGCTCTGCTCAGGGCCTCACGGAGCTGCCCACTGTGCGGGGCAGCCTCTCCCCTCTGGTCTCAGCTCTGCTGCCAGCTCCTGACCACGTGTTTGCCTGGGATGGGCAACAGAGCGCCCTCACCCCAGCCCACCGACTTGCCCGGTTGCACATGTCTACCCCTCCTGCCCTCCCCTGAGACACACCACCGGTTGGAAGCTGGCAGCATCGGGGCCGTCCCCAAGTGGGGGGCAGCCCCCGGTGAGCTCGAAGCATGATTGGGTTGGGTGTTGTGTGGTTTGCGAAGGTGGCGGGTGCCAGCTCTGGCCGCGTGCTGGGGAAACTGAGGATGAGGGCACCGCCTTCGTGGGTTTGTGGTAGGGACACAGGAGCCAGGCAGGGGCGCAGACAGGGGTCTCTGAGTGAGACGGGGGCCCTGACTGGACCGTGTGCTGTTCTGTTCACCCAGTGCTCGGGTTGGCTGAGCACCTACTGTGTGCAAATGGCTCGGCCGGGCACGGGGAGTGGTGGTGAGTCAGGTAGGCGCCCCTTCCAGCAGAGGGGCCAGCCCAGAAGGAGGGTCCCCACTCGGTGAGGGAGGACAGGAGAGGGGTTGTCAGGCTTCAGCTGAGGGGGAGCTGGGGAGGGCGCAGCGCTCAGAGCTGCCGGGTAAGAGCAGGGGGGCTGCTGGCCTTGGACGGGGTGGGGGGCCAGTGGCAGGACCTGCAGTGGGAGAGGCAGCCAGGCCTGAGGGGTTACTGACAGGGCAGATTGGTCGGTGCAGTCGACACCAGGAGGATGGAATGTTCTGGCAAGACCCAGGCGTGTCTCGCTCTGAAGGACCCTCAGCCACAGGGCTCTCTGCCCCTTCTGTGAACTCCCGTGTCCCTGTGGTTGGCGGCTGAGTGTGTGGGCATCTCGTGGGGTGCCCCTCATGCATGCCTCCAACAGGACTGGGGTGCCAGGGCCCGAAGCTGGGGAGGTCAGCATGAGGGGCCTGCCCAGGGCCATGGACCGCTCATATGGTCAGGAGGGGGGGTAGGGTTTGGCGAGGTGCCCTGTCCAAATCCTGGACCTGGTGGTCACTCAGGAGGGGACGCAGCTGGGGGAATGAGGGTTGGTGCCATGCCGGGGGCCCAGGACGCACGCCAAGTACTCCCGGGGGAGGGCGGAGCAGCAGTGTGAGAAGTGGGAGGCCAGATGGATTGGGACCCCTGGGGTAGAGCCATCCCATGGCAGGGTCTGAGCAGAGAGAGCTGAGACTTGGGGGCTGCTCTGGAGAACAGGGTCAGCTTAGGGGCAGGAGGGCCACCAGGGCTTCTGCTGGGAGGGGCTCGGGGAGGGAGGCTGGTGCTGGCCTTGCTGCTGTGGCTTCCAGCCATCCAGAGCCATGGGTAACCCGCGGGCGAGGCAGGCAGTGCAAGGCCAGGTGTGCCAGGGACAGTGATCAGTAGCCCCCGCCCTCTCCGGGCTCAGTCCCCAGAGGCTGAGGACGTGCTGTCTCAGCACTAGTGCAGGGAGGTGCAAAGGCCCTGGGGCTGGAGAGAGCCCTGGTGCACTGGGCTGTGGGTATGGGGAGGTTGAAGTCGGGTTCTACCTCCTGGAGGGGAGCAGAAGATGAGCTGTCCCAGGGGCTCCCCAGGGATGGGGTGGGGGAGAGCATGTGGCACCTTTGTCATTCTGTGCCGGCCTCGCAGCCTGGGCCATCCCGCCCCCGGGGCCTCCACAGCGTCTCCTCCGCGCGGCTCACAAACAGTGCCCCTGGGACGGCCCCGACACAGCCACACCCCCACCTGTTCCCCGTGGGGCCCAGGCTGCCGCCTCCCTGGGGCTCCCTGGGCCCGGCTCAGGCCTGGGCAGCTGGGGAGGAGGGTTCGGGGAGGGGGGACAAGTACCGGGAGGGGTTCTCTGGCTGCGCCCTGCCCAGCTCGGAGCTGAGACTTCCTGGGGGCTGTTGCTCCCTCTTCCACATTCAGAGCTTGGTGGCCCTCAACTCCGTTCCATTCTCTCCACCCCGGTTCTCTGGCTTCGGCCAGCAGGGCCCTCCTTAGCCTGACCAGGCCACGTGACCCCCTCGCTGGGCAGAGCCCGTGAAGCCTGTGCCTCCGCGGCTGAGGGCAAGGCCAGCCGTGCCCTGGGGTCACCCTTGGCCGCCAGGGTTTGGGACCCTGGGCCGGCAGGGCACGCGGCTGTGACCCGCTGTGGCCACTTCCTGTCTGGGATTCCCTCCTGTAGGAGTGTCTTGGGAGCAGCTGCTGAGGCAGAGGTTGGGGTGCAGGATGTGTGTTGGTGACCTGCACCTGTGGGGGGAGCCGGGAGGATGCAGGACTGGGCGAGGGGTGGTGTCAGCTCAGGTGGCTGCCCAGTGGGGCTGCGGCGGTCCCACGGGGAGCCCCAGAGTGAGGAGAGACCGTCAGGGTGACCTGGGTCAGGCCCCAGGCAGCCAGCGGGGGAAGTGAGCCTGGGGGGTGTGGC